AAACATTTTCCTCCAAAGCAAGTAGTTCACTTAAAAGTTCACATTTCATTTTTGTCCAACTACTTTCTTTTTCCTTAGAAAGATAGTACATAAAGGTGGGATCTTCTTGCAAAATGGTATGCAGTTTTTTTTTTTAATCTGGAGAAAACCAAATGAATTTAAGAAATATCCTATCTGCTTTCTGCAGGAGATTCCAGGAAATTTTATTTTGGCACAGGCAGAAGAGCCTAAGGAAACTCTGAATTCTGTATCTATGATTGAAGGTAGTAGAAATACCAGAGTGCACACAGTAAAGGCAAAGGAATTCTTGTATTCTTTTCTGGCTTAAGCAATTCGGGACAATTCCAGTGTACTGTTCCAGACCCTAATGAAAAAATGTTCCGTACTGGCATGTCAATGGCCTTATGTTGAAACGAACTGGCAGTGAGGACTGCACACATGCCCACAGGCATATACACACACACACACACACACACACTTCAAGTAAGGAGTGCTGGAGCACCCAGAGCTAATGTAATTCAATTAGAATCAGGTGACACCTTTTATACTTTTCCTGTCTCTTCCTGCATGAGTTCTTTGCACTTAAAAACACACCAGACCCCAGAAGGCCCACAAACATGGTATGCTTCCATCTTAGGAAGCTTGAGTCAATTTATTTTCGAAAGTACTTTTTTGCTGTTGAAATCCTAATGGAAAAACCATTATAGGAGCCATTTTGAAATGTGTGAATTACATGAACTGTATATTTGGCCTTTATTATTAGAAAACAATGAACAGATCTTGCCTTTTTTCCTGTTATTCTGCATCATGCATGCTAGCTATTCAGTCAAACTGAAAACCAGTGATTGCTTAAGCCAATGTGAGCATAAACTGCTTCTTCAGAAGGTGGATGGTCCTGTGTTCTGGGAGATCATGTCATCACTGTGACACCCCTTGCTCTTACTTGGTCATGCTTAAAGATTTGTTGGGGGGGGTGTTTTTCTTGGAGACTTTGCAATTAGAAAGAAAAATTAGAATTATGAACCAGTATTTAACTCAACCTGGATGTTTTAAAGAGCAATTTAGAGGATGTGATGGACTGTTTCTTTATCCATTAAATAAGATTTTATTTATTCTCAATTGTTGGGTGTGTTTTGTTTTTTGGGTTCCAGATTTTGTATGTGAGATGGGTAAGTTCTCTTGCTCTCAGTGGTTTTTTCCCTCACCTCACATAGTTTTTGGATATGCTACCAGTTTGAAATAGCAATCCAAAAGTCCTGTGTTAATTCAATAAAACAATTATTAGTTTATACCCACTAGTATATTCATTACCAGAGAGGGGAATGGGTACACATGTGAGGAGATAGGTCTTATATTTATGGTCTTACATGCACTTTGTGTGGTAGTGAAAAGAGATTGTTTAGTGTTGCCTAAGTAAAGAGCAGTGTCTAGCCAAATTCAGTCCAAAGACAGGACTTTGTTTTTACTGTAAGATGGAAAAATTTAAGTGAACTGAGCCTCAATTGTTGAATCCTGCAGCTCTATTATCCATAACTCAAACACTCTGTCTGGCTCATCTCTAGCAGAAATTTTAGATCTCCATTAGTATAAAGGTCATCTCATCAACTAAGAAGATGGCTGTACTGGATGTTACAAAAGATACTCAAATCTGGAGAAAGACAAGTACTAAATGATTCCACTCATTTGTGGAGTATAACAACAAAGCAAAACTGAAGGAACAAAACAGCAGCAGACTCACAGAGTCCAAGAAGGGACTAGCAGTTACCAAAGGGAAGGGATTGGGGTGGGAAGGGAGGGAGAAGGGGATCAAGGGGCATTATAATTAGCACTCAGAGTATAGGTAGGTCATGGGAAAGGCAGTACAGCATGGAGAAGACAAGTAATGACTTTATAGCATCTTACTACACTGATGGACATTAACAACAGAAAATCTGTGGGACGCAGCAAAGGCTGTGCTAAGAGGGAAATATATTGCAATAGAGGCCTACTCAGGAAAGAAGAACAATCCCAAATGAACAGTCTAAACTCGCAATTAATGAAACTGGAAAAGAAAGAACAAATGAGGCCCAAAGTCAGTAGAAGGAAGGACATAATAAAGAATAAAGCAGAAATATATAAAATTGAGAAGAATAAAATGATAGAAAGAATTAATGAAAGCAGGAGCTGGTTCTTCAAGAAAATAAACAAAATAGATAAACCCTTAGCCAGACTTATCAAGAAAAAAAGACAGTCTACACACATAAACAGAACCAGAAATGAGAAAGGAAAAATCACTATGGACAACACAGAAATACAAAGAATTATGAAAGAATACTGAAAAGTTATATGGTAACAAACTGGATAACCTAGAAGAAATGAAAAACTTTGTAGAAAAATACAACCTTCCAAGGCTGACCCAGAAAGAAACATAAAATCTGAATAGACCAATTACCAGCAAAGAAATTGAATTGGTAATCAAAAACTACCTAAGAACAAAACCACTGGACCAGATGGTTTCACTGGTGAATTATATCAAACATTGTGAAGACCTAATACCCATCCTCCTTAAAGTTTTCCAAAAAGTAGAAGGGAATACTCCCAAACTCATTCTACAAGGCCAGCATCACTCGAATACCAAAACCAGGCAAAGACACTACACTGATGGACAGTGACTGCAATGGGGATATGGGGGGTGAGGACTTGATAATATGGGTGAACGTTGAAACCACAATATTCATGTGAAATTTTCATAAGAATGTGTATCAATGATACTTTAATTAAGAAAAAAGAATGATAGCCTAATCCTTCTTAATATCTGTAAATATGAAGAATGGGAAGTCAGTATAATCAGTTTTTTTATTATGAGGTTAATGGTCTCAGAGTAGATACAGTTTAATTAAGTGTTTCTCCACCCTGACAGCTCATTAGAATCACCTGGGGAGCATTTTGAAATGACTATGCCCAGCCCTCACCTCCAAGCAGTTAAATGAATTCTTGAGCTGGGGGGATCCAGGTTGGTATTTTTTCCAAGACTCTCTAGGAGTGATACTACTGAGCAGTCAGGGTTGAGAACCACTGGCTTAGATTACCTTTCCCATCCTGATAGTCCTGTTCATTTGTATATGGTCTTCAAGACTTCCAGTCCTGGGGTTTGGGGCTTCAGCCTCTAGCTAGCACTAGGGAGAGCCCACATACAGTAACTAGTCGAACTGAAACCCTGCCCAGGGGGAGTCTCCTTTTATGATTTAATGTCCCCACTTAGGAACTTTTAGGGCACATATTACTGTTACTACACCATTGAAACATTCAGCTGTTCTCTCTGTGGGACTGCTTATTGATTAGTACATGTGTGTTCTTGGCTGCCTACCCAAAGACAAGGATGGTGTTGAGTAAGGGTATGAGTGGTTGCTTGATAACATTTGTTGACTTATTGAAAAAAGGGAGCCCAAGTAAAAGAATATTTTTGAATTTCACTATGTCTTGTTGTCAAACTAGAAGGAACACAGGTTTTCAAAGGTGGACAGTACACTTTTAGGTTGCTTGATAATCTAAAATCTTTTTTGTATGATAATAAATGAACCTAAACTTCCAAAAGATTTTATACTTGTTTTATCCAGATTTCTAATCCATAAATTATGAAGGATTTCCCGAGTATGAGTTTTATCAAAGATTGGATCTGACAACTGACACACATTTTTGATCACTGAGACCTTTCCCTCAAATGTCTTCCAGGAAAAATATAGTACATTGAGTGGGGTGGAAAACTTAGGGATTTGTTAAGGGCTAAACTGTTTCCATAAGTTTCCAAAACACAGAAACAAGCAGCTAAAGGTTTAATACTTAACAGATTCCCATTCTTTTTGAGGAGTGGAGATGAGGAAGGAGAGGCATGGGATTAGAATCCCATCATTTTAATTAAATTGTCTGATTTCATTAAGAAACTGCTGCTAAGAATCAAAAAAGAAATATTTCCTGAGTGTTATTCTGTCTAACCCTCTGTACTAAAGCTGTAGAGATCAAATAAAAAGTACAATTCTCTTTTACAAGATATTTATAGTCCAGAAGTCCCTGCCTGAAAAAGGACTTGTGAACCCTGCCTGAAAAAGGACTGACAATCTTTATACATTCTTGAGACCTCCTCTGATTAACACATTTTTAAGCACTTTTTAAATTCATTCTCTAATTCTACAAATTTACAGAGGTTATTATAATGAAGCTTTTTAAGTCTAAATAAGTAGACTACTGTGTCCAAATGGTGAGGAAGGCAGATGTGCTGAGCCCTACCATTAGCCCAAGTGCAGACGGCAGAGTGGAATGCGGCCAGAAAGGGGCCTTAGCATCATCACTTCAAGAATGTGCTGTCCACTGGACTACAGCATCTTCTAAGAGCTGTTGAAGCCAAGAGGTTAAATGAACGTTTGACTCTCTAATTTGCAGTGAGGACGCAAAGTCCTGAGCCCTCCTAGGTTTCTTAAAAACAGGTTTCAGGAGGAAATAGAAATTCAGTGTTAGCCTCACAATGGATCTCTAGAGATACACTTGCGATTTTATTTTCTAAGTTTAGGTTTATGCACTGGGGAAGACACTTTCATTAAAACCAAATGGGTTTTGATAATTAGGGTTAACTAAGAAAGTAAAAATCTTAATGGAGACTCTCAAGATAAATTGCAAATAGATGGCTATATGGGATGTTAAGTGCTGGAATCCATATTTTAAGAGTTTGGGGGACGTCACTGTTGTTTTTGTTGACTTGTGACAAATTCCAAATGCACAAATAACTTAGAGACCTGCTTTTTCTAATAATTAACAAGACATTCTCCCAAACGCATGCAGAACTTTTGTCCACCAAACCACTCTAAAGGTTTGGTTTTATTCAGCCTATAGTTAAGGCAATTTATAAAAGTAATCCAAACCAACACGTTGTGTATTATTTTGCTCCTATCTTGATTAGCCTTAATGATAGTGAAGCTCGTACTGATCAACTTGTACTGAATAAAAGGAAATTACAACCAAACGCAACATTTTTTATTTCTCTTGGTACTAGTTGTATACATTTCCATATAGGAACAAACATATATTTGGATACTTGTACGGAATTAGGAGTTACTAATTGGCTTAGGAAAATAAAATACTGAAGAACGTCTAGTTACCTAAGAGCTAAATACTATTTCAATTAATTTATCTTTAAAAACCCATGAAAAATACATCTCTATGTCTAAGATGACAGAGGAAACTTTCAAATTAATTACTTGTACTCTCATCAGCTTGTCTTCTTTTGATGAAGTATTACAAAACAGCACATTTGCCAATTGGTGCGATTAGATTTAAACATTCCACATCTTTACTCACGTAAGTCCTCAATATCATTACCCCCAAATAGGCCTTTAGAGTGCCATCAGGAAACTAGCAGAACTCATGGCAGGAAAAACAAACCCACGTTTTTATTTATAGTTTATAAAACCTGTATTTTAATAATGTATACACAGTTTTTAAAAATGCAGAGCACTCACTCCCACATACTCTACCAAAAAAAAAAGCCCGACTACTTCATGCATGCACACACAATGCATTAAACATAAATGCACTTACAGGTCAGGAAGGTAGCTCTGTTTTAAACATATACGAGTAATGGATACTGTAACTTCACCGCAAAAGGACAAATTTACAAAGTTTAAGAAAGTGATTATTTCCCTCAGGACTAAAACTGCAGTATAGCCTAATCCTATTTTTTCTTAAGACTGTTTTCCCTCTAAGTAGTCCAGAAAGGGGAGAGGAGACCTTATTTTCACAGCAATCAAAATCATTCACAATATCCATTAATGAAATCTACGAAATACTGATGAGGAAAAAAGGCAATAAAATCATTGCATCTATAGAACTGGTGATGCGAATAAAAGTAATCTATTCTGATTTTTTCCTAAGAACGCATCCTAGGCCACCACGGGCTGCGTTGCCGCTCCTGAGCTCCATCACTGGGCATCTCACGCCGGCAGGGCCGTGCGCCCTAACTGGCCATCTGGAAGGGCTCGGGCTGGAAGCCGAAGAGCCTCTGGCCGTAGGGCTCGCTCTCAGGCGGCAGCTTCGCACCCGCGAACGGGAGGTAGAGGTCGCGGCCGAAGTGTTCGCAGTGGAGACTGACCCAGTCCCGCTCCGAGCCGAATCGCTCGGCCTCGGCCAGGATGCGGGTCAGAGCCATGATGTAGCTTAGCGCCATCTGCAGGGTCTCATACTTGGACAACTTTTTATCCTGGCCCCACTGGGGCACCACCCTGCGCAGGCGGTCGAAGGCGGTGTTGAGCCCCTGCATGCGGCGGCGCTCGCGAGCGTTGGCCGCTAGGCGCCTGCGCGCCGCGCTCTCCAGACGCCCCGCCCCGGTGCACGTGCCCGCGCACTCGCCGCCGCCGGCGCACGGGGTCGCGGCGCGCGCTCCCGCCTCCGGGTGGCTGGGCTTACAGGACTTCATCCCCGGTCCCGGCGGAGGGCGGGAGGCGCCGAGCTCCGTCGCCCGCTCAGCACCCGCGCGCGGGCTGCCCTCCCAAGCCGCTCCCCTCCGCGGCACTCCTTAGCAAGTGGTCATACACAAAGCAGCTCGCGCCGAGTCAAAGTTTACAGTGGGGCGCGCGGGACTCCGCCCTCTGTCCTACTGAATAACCAGATGGACGTCTCTTCCCTTGCCCAAATTTAGGGGAAATTGAGTTGCTGACAGAAGGTCATTTTCCCAACGTTAGTCTGAAAAAGAGAAGGGAACCTTCTTGCAGCGGAATTTGGGGTGGCTGGTTCGGGGAAGGCCTTTCAAGTCCTCCGGGAAAGCCCGAGACTTGTCTTGAGGAAGATGAAATCTTTCGTGAAGCTCAGCTAGGGAAGGAGCGCTTTATCCGCAGAGCTGTCGGAGAGTGCTGGTCGGATCTTTGAAGGAGGAGAATTTATAGCAAAGGGCTGAGGGAGGAAACAGGTGGTGGCAGGTGGGCGGGCGTCCCTCGGCTTCCATCTCAGCACCTTCCTACCCTGGGAACTGCGGGGGGGAAGGGGGACGCACAGCAAAATCCTGACAGTACAGACTTCGTTTCTCCAAAGCTATGTCCAAGAGTAAGACACCATCTGGACAGGCCTGGCTGTCCCCAAAGGAATAACGAGGTGGGGGTGGGGAAAGAGTTTGGTCCATCTTTTCCCATATCAAGAACTTAACCAAGGTTTTAAAATTAGTGAAAATCATTCGTGTAAACATGTTGGTCTTGGTGTAATGAGGTATATCAGAAGTTTAGTAAAGATTTAGTTTTCTTCAAGATGTATGACAATTTTGGATAATGTTGATCTAATATATTGACATTTTTATTTTAACTATTAAGTAAGTTGGGACAAATTATATTTATATTACTGAAGACCTAGAATTTTACTGTGCAAATAATTTGACTATTTTTTGCAGAATAACATATCAAAAAATATTCGTGGTATATCAAAAAATGTATATTATTCCAATTATATAATTGGATTTCATGAGTTTGGATACTTAGGCAAATTAATTCAAAATTTATACTCTACTTCCCCCAACACAGGTTCATCAATGTGTTTGGGATATGTATTGAGATGATAATTACTTAATTATTTAATTTGACATTTAAATCTAGTGAAACTAACCATATTTCATATATCTGTGCAAAATGGAGACATCTAAGTAACTTGTAAAGCTTTTAAAAGTAATTTTTTTAAAGGAAGATTTTTTTCCCTCCACATGATAACCCTGTAAATATTTCATACTGCTTGGATGTTTCAGTTGTGTCAGTTGTCTTCGAGAACAATAAAAAAACATGATTTCCACTATTGATAATGATGAACTGACTTATACAGAGAGCCATTAACTGATTCTTCCAACACAGCTCCTTTCTGGCTCATAAGGAAAAGTAAAGTGGCAAAGAAACCAGCTCCAAATGGATTGAAGCCAGGTTCACTTCTGGATTCTTCAAGAAGACCAAGTATGCTCCTTCCTCTTTTGAAATACGGATTATGTCAGCATTATACTCAGATATGTTTGTTTAATTAGGTTGTTGACAAACTCTCACAAAAATGAAGTCTTTTAACGGTGACTCGCTTCCACCACTGCTGCCTCAGCCTGAAACCCCATTGTGACTGCCCTGACTAGAAGTCCATAAATAGTTGATTAATCCCCAGCTGAAGCAACGACAATGAAACGAAGTCGAGTAACATGAAGACAATAGGGTGCAATTGAACATTAATGACCTCCAGCATGACAGATGTTGAACACGGACTTCTGCATGGGGCCGCTCGGCTCTGTTACTCTGCATCCTGACAGTCACGGTCAGGAACAGCAGTCCTCTGACAGGAAAATCTATACCATTTAGTCATCAAAATGTCAAATACATTTTTTGAGCTTTATGGAAACCTGCCCCCTAATGCTGTTATTTCTCATGTTCGTTTAGCTCATCCCTGTGCCGAAACGGATCCTACTTTGTGATACTCTTTGGAATGTTTCCCTATAAACATACTGTGCATTTGTTTTAGACACTGTTGACCAAATGCTAATAGGATGTATTTTGCAGGCCATGTATTCAGGCTTCTGAGATTACAGCCTATGCACCAAGAGAAACAAAAGCAGAACTTGAAAAGGAAAAGGAAACATAGCAGTATGTACACAGCACAGCTGTAGCTGTATCAGAATATAAACTAGCAGATATCTGTGGCATAAAACTGATCCAAATGTAGAGTATTACTGCAGTAAAGAAGCTATACAGTGAGACATTCCCCAAATGTATTCTGAAGGACAATTTATTAGTACTACAAACATGATCGTGGAGAGAAGGAAGTCCATTGTCCTATAAGTTTGAGAAATACAGCTATCTCCTGCTTGGAAAGTCATAAAGCAAAACTGGTATAATAAAGTTTCTGAGAAGTCCTGGAGTAAAGAAACCTATTGGCTCCAGTGTTTCCTAGATCTGTGTAACACAGAACCCTTTTTTCCTAGAGAAGCCTAGTAACAAAGTTTCTTGAAACACATTTTTTTTCAAATCTGCTGTAGTACCTCTCATGTATTTTATAGAGGAGGAGACTGAGATTCAGAGACTATAAACACTATGCTCAAAGACACTGAGCAATTTAATGACTCAGTTAAGACAGGAAGTCAAGCATATCCTTTGATTTAGAGGCTCTAAAATTATGAGATCATGTCAAGCCCCTCAGTTTACACTGGAGCAACTGAGAGCTTCCAGTGACTTCCCAAAGTCAGACAAACCACTGTAAAAGTCTCAAGAATAGAATGAGTAAGTTTGTGCTTAAGAAATAGTGTGGTTATTTTATAACCACAGTGCCTAACACAGTGCCTAGAAAATAACAGGTGATAAATGACCCAGACTGAATGGCTGGAAAAATTAATTTGATAAATGATAGATTCTGATCAGAATGAGCACATTCCGAGTGAATAGCCTGAATGACTGATTTACATCTCCTTACCTTGTAAAGAACACCCACTAGCTCCACATTTTGAAAACAGAATGGACTCTTTCTTATCAAAATGCACATCCATAGTTATTTGAACCAGAAGAACCTGCATGTCAGACTGATCTCCACAGTGTTTTCATACTCAGGGCATGATCCTGCCAGATGAACTGGTAGTTACTATTTTTCTGGAGGTTGGTCAGAAACCAAAACTGGCAGATGGGTAAGGTAGAAGGAGTTTACACCTGAAGTAGGAAAATAGGAGAAATATTATTTTAAAGGCAAAAGATCAATGGCTGGAAATTATTATATACAATGTATACAATAGATTCAAGGATGAGCATTCCCTTATTATCCAAAGCCATATTTAATTTTTTAAATGGAAACTCTCCAAAGAAATACACAATTAAAATTCATTTGCAGGGAAAATGTGGAAAATTAGGAATGGAGATTCCTTCTGGAGGAGGTGGCAACTGGGGGAGTCTGGGCCCCTGAAACACGCAGATGTACACCAGCAAAAGACAAAGGAATAATGAGGTTGAGTTCCACTTATGTTTCATCGAAGACCAGAAGGGCATGTTAAAAGTTCTTGTAACTTATAATGTGCCATATAGTTACTAAGGCGGAAAAAAACCTGCAAAAAGGATTTATATGTTTAGAGAAATAAAGGGAGAGGCGAAGTCTTACCTCAGTCCCCTGCCCCTCAGAGATCCAAGGAAGAGAAAACCCAGCAGAGGACAGAAATAAGAAGGGGCAGAGACTGTTAATGGGGCCAAGAGAAAGATAACAAACGGAGGGTCCTGTCCCAGGCCCCAGAGGTGATCACTCACCTCCAGAAAGTAAAGGTTCACCACAGCGCCCCAGGTGATTCTCCAACTCCCCCAGGCACTTCACACAGTGCTTGTGAATTCTGACGTTGCAATCTTGACTTAGTTTCTAGACTCCATGAGCCAGACTGACTTGCAGGGTTTGAACTGTGTTTACTGTTCTTGATAGTGGATCTTAAGCCTCCCCTAAGCGTCTGAGCTAAGCACCATCTTTGAAGTCAGCTTTGAATCCTGGATCTCCTATCAACTCACTGTGTGCTCTTGCACAAATCACTTCTATTTCTCCATCTGCAGAGTGGAATAATACCTACCGCACAGGCAGTAGTGAGCATTAAATGAGACTGTACCTGGAAAGGACTCTGCCTGGCCCCTAAGAAAGTCATTCTTTAAATAACAGCTAATACTACATATTCTGAATAGTCTTAACAAATTGTAATGAAAATGAACTCAGCATCACTTTCTTCAGCTTTTGAATGTGGTGGATAATTTGTGAACCTCTTACATACACAGCTGCAATTAGTCAGAATATGGATCGCAGCTGGGTAACCTTGAGCACCTTAACCTAGCTATGCCTCTTAACATTACCTGTTAAAGAGGGTTAACAACAGAACCAATCTTACAGAATTGATAGGAGGATTGAATTACTTTTTGCAAAGCACTTAGAACTAACTATACCTGGCATACAAATAAGGGCAATATAAGTGCTTGATTAGAGAAACAAAATGACCTGTTGCGGTTATCCAGGTTGTAGTCAGCCACCCCTCCTTCTGCTCATTTTTGGGTTATTTCCCTGCTCTTCAGTTCTTGCCCCATAAAGTAAGCAGGGACTGGGAGAGGACGTCAGAGGAGTTCCTTTTGCCTTTAATATTGTAACAACTTAAGTTTGAAATAGCAGAAACAGAAGCCAGAAAAAGGCTGCTCAAGACTTTCGTGGTAGTAAATTTGGTGGTTTCATTGTAATTTGATGGGGCCAAGAGAAAGATAACAAACGGAGGGCCCTGTCCAGAGCCCTTCCCTTCCTAGTACTGGTGTTATTTGAGGAGACAAATCAATGATCATGATGTTTCTTTCATTAGCATAGAAGCAGAGTAAAGGGAATTAGTCTTAGGGATGTGCTTAGAACTGTTGTATGGTAAACTTGGGCTGAAAGCTGTATTTTTCAGAATGCCCTTCCCTGTGGGGTCTGGCTGATTTAGGCAAAAGTGAAGTTGCATGAGCTTTGGGAGGCAGAAGTGAAGCCACCATGCTCTGAAGATCACTGTAGGTTAGAGACCATGATAGATGCAGATAAGGCAGCAGATCCATGTGTCCTTGCTCTTGCTCGTTGTGTGTCCAGTGCTCCCTCCCAGCTATGGGCCCTTGCCGGCCAGCAGCGGCCCCAGGCCCACTGTCAGATGCTTCATGTGAACTCACAGAGCCGGTAGGTGGCCACAAAGAAACCGTCTTCCGCACCATCCACTCGACCCAGTCTCACTCCAGCAGCTGGATGCGCCTACCCTCCTGACTACCATGCAGGCTCCAGCTCATTCCCAAGCCAGGGCTGCTTTATAGTGACTCTTCTCTGCTCCTTCCACAACCCTTTTTGGACCTTTACGTCCC